AGTAATAACACAAGTTGTGCAGCTTTTCGTATCTGAAACCCACACTTATAATTTGACCTTCCAATTGGATGTTAGTGCACCTTGAGAGAGGTTCATTTATGTCTAAGGATACCAACAACCTTAAGATTCTTCCACCATGATTGCCTGAACTTGCAATGACCACATTCTGGACAGAATTGAAAATCGACCCAATTTTAAGCCCAACTTCTGTGCTCAAGCAATTGATAGGTAGATTCCATACCTGGACCCACATTTTAATGTCATGGAAGGCCGGGTGTTTGCTTGTGAGCCCTTTTTCCCACTCTTTGAGGATTAGGTGCTGGTTCTCAAAACTCCAGCTGATGCCATCACCAACCCTTCTCATATCGTCTTTGCTTTGAAAAACAAACTGGAAGAAATTGTGACCTAATTCTTTTACTTCCATTTGCTGTTGCAGTCTCCATATGTGGCTCATGGCTCTTTTGATTCCCAGCCAGCTTGCCTTTCGGTCCCCAATGATTTTCCCAAAGAGGCTTCTACCACATTCGTCAGCGCACAGCTTAATATCCTCATGCTCAATCCCTGTTATCAGGCTTTCCTTGTCAGAAAGCGAGAAACTCTTGATTCTGTCAGCTAGGTCTTCATCGTGCCCAATACAGCTTGGCTCCGACATTTTTAGGGTTTACAATCAGAAGGAAATCAAGAGAAAACAGAGGAGACAAGGATGAAATAATCAGAACAAAACACTGAAAAGAACAATTGCAATCGGAAAAGTGAATCGCTCCCAAATGAGAGAATCGCAGAATCGCTCTCAAACGAGAGAATCTTTTGCTGATTTTTTTGATTCTTACTTTCAATTTACGTCAGATTTGTTTCCATTCAAAACGTGTTGAATTTAATATTTTACAATATTAAACAAAACAAAATATTGGCACGTAGTAGAATAAATGATCTTTTGTTGTTTAAATGATAATTATTAATAGAAAATGCCGATATGAGTACAATATAATGTTATATATATTTATAGACAAATAGACTTAAACTAAAGGAATAAAAATAATCAAATAGATATAGATTATGAAGCCTGTTACTTTTATTAAAAAGTATTCTTACATCGTAATTAGGAAAAAAAATAAAATCATATCTGTCATCTATAAAATTTTTATTCTTTATTATTCTAATGATTTATACATTAAAGTGAACTTAGGTACTGTATGATTTGATTCAAGGTTCTATATACCTAGGTAATAATATGTGGCCAATTATTATTTTATTGGTTAATGTTTATGTTGATGAAGTATTATTGAATAAAAAAAATCATTCATTTAAATCATTTGAGGTTGTATCTATGCATTCCGTGCACCAACGTGTCATAGAAGGATTAGTTCAAAATATTAATTTGACAAAGTAAATTACAAATTTATTTCCTATTGTAACGGATAAATTATCTCCAACAATTAGAATTTCCTTTTTTAACTGATAGATTATCTCTAGCAATTAATGATTCACTTGTGTGCTATTTTTCTATATAGAAGGTAATTAATAAAATTGGCGGGAAAGGGTTTCTATAAATGAATTATGTTAATCCTTATCATATATTAATAGATATATATATAAAGGTTTATTTATGTAATTATATCTTTCATTATCCATGGTTTATTTATAATTAGATGGATAAAGTATAATTTTTCTCTACATTATTTAAAATACAAAACACCATGCATCCCCCTTCATTTCTATACTCCCTTCATTTCGATTATTCATCCAAACGAAATTTAAGCTACCATGAAAATTGTTTTCAACACAATGGAAGAAATAACTGTAAAATCGCAAATCTCTAGAACCAGATATTTTGGGATTTTCTAATCTCATATCATTACATCAAAAATCAAAGAAAAGAACATACAACCAGTCTATTTATGCATGCAACACGACAAGGTAGAAGATGAACTAAACGACGTCGTTTTCATTAAGTGAAACGACGCCGTATGAGAACAAAATGAAAACAGCCAAATTTAAATGAAAACAAAGAAAACGCAAAAGAAAAACAGCATAAAACGTCCCAGCGACTTTGAGCACTTTGAACACGTGCATGGCTTTTCTTCTCTAAGCTGCAGCAAGACCATTAATTCCAACACCCGCCCCTCAAGGTGGGCCGTGGTGAGCCTGCAACATGCCCAGCTTGGACACAAGGGTAGCAAAGCGAGATCCAGCTATGATTTTGGTGAACAAATCTGCAAGTTGATGCATAGAAGCCACATACAGAGGAGTGATGAAACCTTGCTTGTATTTATCCCGAACAACGTGACAATCGATTTTGAGATGCTTCGTCCTCTCATGAAAGACCGGATTAGCGGTGATGTGCATGGCCGCATGGTTATCACACCATAAAGGAATCAAAAAAATCAGAGGCACATGAAATTCTTGAGCAAGAAAATGTAACCATATGAGCTCAGAAACTGCAGATCCCATTGCTCGATATTCTGCTTCAGCCGACGATTTAGAAACAATGTGCTACTTTTGCTTTTTCAGGAAATGAGAGAGTCACCTAAGAAGATGCAAAACCCAGTAACTGACCTCTTAGTATCCTTACAAGCTGCCCAATCAGCATCACAATAGGCCAAAAGAGTGAAAGAAGAAGTGTTGTAAGGATAAAATAAGCCCAGAGAAGGTGAACCCTTTAAGTATCTGAGTATATGCAGAGCTGCCTTCCAATGAGAATCTGTTGGACTGTTGACAAATTGGCTAAGTTGCTGGACTGCATAAGTAACATCAGGTCTAGTAAGTCCAAGATACAATAGCCTGCCAATAAGCCTTCTATAAATGTCAGGTTGATCCAAGGGATTGCCACTGTTGTTCTGTAGATGAATTCCAAGAGGTAATAGAGTAGGAGCTGATGTACATGTGAGCATGTTTAAGTAACCAAGGATATCCAAGATATACTTCCTTTGGCACAGCAAAACTCCCTTGTCAGTGTAGTTGAGTTCAATTCCCAAGAAAAACTTAGCAGCCCCTAGGTCCTTTATTGTAAATTGATCATCCAGAAAATTCTTTAAATGTTGTATGAGGGAGGAGCATGAACCAGTGACTAGAACATCATCTACATAAAAGAGAGCCAAGAAATCTGTACCCTTGGTCAATGTGAAAAGACAGTGATCATAGGAAGATTGCAGAAGTCCAAAGTATGATAATTTTCTGCTCAATTCAAGATTCCACTCCCTTGAGGCTTGTTTGAGCCCATGGAGACTCTTGACAAGCCTGCAAACTTGGCCTGCCTTGGCTTTATCATAGCCCTGAGGTGGCTGCATAAACACTTCCTCAGTTAATGTGCCATGAAGGAAGGCATTATTTACATCTAGTTGATGTAGTTCCCAGCTTCTATGGACTGCCAATGCTATGAAAAATCTAACTGTCACCAATCTTGCTACTGGTGAGAAGATGTCAAAGTAGTTTACCCCTTCAATCTGATTATATCCTTTAGCAACCAACCGAGCCTTAAATCTTTCAACTGAGCCATCAGCTTTTCTCTTAATTTTATACACCCATTTGCAACCAATTGGTTTCTTGCCTTGTGGTAATTCTGTAAGTTCCCAAGTGTTATTTTCTTCAAGTGCATCCAATTCTTTCTGCATTGCTTCTACCCAAGAGGGATGCAAAGCTGCTTGCTTGTAATGAGATGGTTCTTTTTCAGTATATAAGTTGGCAGTGAATTCCTTGTGCATCTGGGAATCAACTCTGAGGCATTGTGCTGAATCCTTGGTTAAAAGATAGTCATCATGCCATAAAGGTGCTGTTCTTACTCTATGACTTCTTCTCAGACCCTCATCATGTGTTTCCTTCTGTTCTTGAGCAGGCACAACCCTCAAATTTGTTGTCTCATCTTCCATAACTTCTTCAGTGTGTTGGGGAAGAACTATATCTTCTTGAGGTGATGTGTCATAAGGGAAAATATTTTCAAAAAACACTACATCTCTTGCTACAAAGCACTCTCCACTGTCCATATCATATAATTGATATCCTTTGCTACCTGCTGCATTTCCCAAGTGAATGCACTTACTCCCTCTAGGTGCATATTTTGATCTCTGTGGTTGAATCTTTGCTGCATAGGTCAAGCAACCAAAAGGTTTCAACCTTGTATAGTCTAGCTCCTTGTTATAAACTCTTTCAAATGGGGTTTTCCAGTTCAAAACTGCACTAGACAACCTATTGATGATGTATGCAGCTGCCAAAACTGAGTATGGCCAAAATTTCAGAGGTAGTTGTCCTTGGAATATCAAAGCCCTCCCAATTTCAAGTAGTTGTCTATGCTTCCTTTCAACTACACCATTTTGCTGAGGTGTATAAGGACAACTTGTTTCATGAATTATTACCCTTTGTTTGAAGAAATGCTGTAAGTCTTTACTGAGGAACTCTTGACCATTATCTGACCTCACCTTCTTGACAGTTGTATCAAACTGCGTTTGTATCATTATGATGAAATCAGTTAGGTATTTTGCAGCCTGTGATTTATGAGCCATCAAAAACACCCATACTGCCCTACTAAAATCATCAACCACTGTCAAAAAGAAAGGAGTAGCTGTGAGTGATTCCTCTTTACAGGGTCCCCAAATATCCACATGTAGTGCTTCAAAACTTCTGTTGGCATGTATAAAGCTTGTTTTAAATGGAAGCCTGTGTTGCTTTGCCTTAAAGCACACTTCACATGACTGAACCTTTGTGCTTTCTGAATCTGTAAACTTCCCTTTGAGGAATGAGATATGCTGCATGGTGCTATAACTAGCATGGCCAAGACACTTGTGCCACATATCTAATGAGAACTTGCAAGTAAGTGCAGCTTCTTCTCCTTTAGTTACATCATCTGTTTGCAACACATAAAGATTTCCCTTTGGGATCCCTTTACCAATCACCTTCCCATCATCAGAATTTTGCAGTATACATGCAGTAGAGGAAAAAGAACATTTTACCTTTGCATCTACACAAAGCTGGCTTACTGAGAGAAGGTTATATTTAAACCCTGGAACATAAAGAACACCTTTTAAGGTAAGTGTGTTAGTTACTGCAACTGTTCCTCCAATATTCACTCCTTTGTGTGACCCATCTGGCAAGCAAACTGAGACAGGTTCTTTCAAAACTGAAATATTGCTCATGATGTTAAGATCACCACACGTATGCCTGCTTGCTCCAGTATCAATGATCCATACACCACTGCTCAAATTTTCAGCTATAGTTAGAGCAAAGTGAACTCCATCATCCTCTCTTTGATGTCTAATATTTGCCATCTGAGCATAGTCTACCTGTCCATCTAGATTCTCCTTTCCCTTTATATACTGAGTGATTTCTTGTAGTTGCTTAACAACCAATGATAATTCACTGTCTGCTGAACTCTTTCTCTCAGGTGCTTTCACTCCCCATTGTTCTTCATCCTCATAGGTCTCAGCACTATTAGCATAAGATTTGGCTTGCTGTACCTTCAAATCCTTGTACCATTCTGGCACTCCATGTATTTTAAAACATGTGGCTATTGTATGGCCATACATACCACATTTATCACACAGTAGCTTTGCCCTCTCTTCCTTACTTAGCCTAGTACCACCTCTACCTCTTCCACTCTGCCAATTACCTCCTCTTCCACCAAAACTTCTATTCTGTCCCACTTGTCCCCTGCCATATCCTTCATACTTTGCAGTCATGGCCATTTTTTCTATGTTATCAAAACTGTTTGTAACAGATCTTTGCCGTTCTGCCGAGAGTACCATTGAATATGCCTTGTTAATACTAGGCAAAGGATCAAACAATAATATCTGATTTTTCAAATGATCATAACTATCATTTAATCCCATAAGAAACTGCATTAGTTTGGTTTCAGCTTCAAGTTGAGCTGCCTTTTGACCTTTAGGACAGTTACAGATCTGAGAGGGAACAACACAAGCAAATTCATCCCATAACTTCTTCATCTTGCTAAAATATTCCATAACTGTACTATGACCTTGAGTTAGAGTGTTTATCTCTCTTTGCTGCTTATAGCGCATCGGTCCATTGTTTTCTCCATATCTTTGGCAAATCTCATCCCAGGGATCCTTAGATGTTTCAGCATATACAAATGTTTCAGCAATATCCTTCGATAACGTATTCAAAATCCACGACAAAATCATCCAGTCAACCTTCTTCCAATCATCATACTCATCATCATCAACATCAGGTTGTGCTATATCACCATTAATAAAACCTAGTTTTCTCTTAGCACCCAAAGCTATAGTCATTGATCTTCTCCAAGAAAGAAAATTCTTACCAGTCAATTGATTCGAGACTAGCATCAGTCCAGGATTGTCTGATCCATGGAGGAAGAATGGATCTCTGTTCGGAGGCACTCCCTGCCTCGCATCGGATTCAGTAACATTGAAAGCACCTCCACGCCTCATCGCCATTGTCGCGTTGGATCGAAGCTTGGCTCAAGTAGCTCAAATAAAACTCAAGGAATTTCAGGATCGATTGCTCTGGATACCATGTAAAATCGCAAATCTCTAGAACCAGATATTTTGGGATTTTCTAATCTCATATCATTTCATAAAAAATCAAAGAAAACAACGTACAACCAGTCTATTTATGCATACAACACGACAAGGTAGAAGATAAACTAAACGGCGTCGTTTTCATTAAGTGAAACGACGCCGTATGAGAACAAAATGAAAACAACCAAATTTAAATGAAAACAAAGAAAACGCAAAAGAAAAACAGCATAAAACGTCCCAGCGACTTTGAGCACTTTGAACACGTGCATGGCTTTTCTTCTCTAAGCTGCAGCAAGACCATTAATTCCAACAATAACATCAGATAAAGAAACATGTAAAATACGCATTCTTTTTTTCTATTTTTGACTTTGGTATTTTTATTGTTATATGACAACATAGTGTTTTTTTTTCTGTAATTTTATGTTTTATATATTTTTTTCAAACAATCCGTGTAGTACATGTGTGTCATTCTAGTATACTTTAATTTATTATTCATCTACTCACATAAGTTTAACTATCCGTCACTTCATATCATCTCTTTTTTACTTTTACATCAAATCAACTTTAATTATTTTATTTTAGATATTATTTTAATATAAATCCAAAATCTTAATAACAACTAACCATACAATCTTTTTCTAAATTAACTCTAGTTCATTGTTTTGTGACCGGACCGGCCGGACAGGTCAACCAGGAGTCGAAATCGGTCTGGGTGGGTTATTTGATTGGGTAACAATGGACACAAAAAAAACCCGGCCAACGGCCTTGACCCAGTCGACTCAACTGGTGGAGCCGAAACCGGTTCGGGTGGGTTATTTGGATTGGGTAACAATGGAACCGGTCAAACCCGGTCAAAACCCGGCCTTGACCCGGTCGACCAGGGTCAACACGGTTGACCCGGTCTCTATAATTTATTTATTTTTTTATTTTTTTATATAAAAAATAAAAACTATGTTTATATAATGATATAGTAAATATTTATTGTGGGATTCAATATTATTAACACTTAAATATACAAATTTTGTATACAAATATTTATTTTTGTTATTTTTATATATATTTATGTATCAAAAATACTATATATATAATTTTAAAAATTTTAAAATTAATTATCCGGTTCAACAATTGACCCAGCGACCCGACGGTTGAATCAGTGACCCGCAGACCTGTCCGGGTCAATTTTCGTGCCGGGTTTAAAAACTATGCTCTAATTAATAAAAAAAATCTACTTCGGCCGAAAATTTTTGTATACAAACATAAAGAAGACGGTGAAAAAGATTTGGGAAGACTTTTAAAATACTTCTGTCGAGAGAGCAAATAAAAATTTTGGCGCGCTGTGGCCATCCGAACCAAGTTCGAATCTTGTCAGTATCTCAATACCCGAGGCTCGGATTCCGAACCTCAGACCTGGGCCTTGTCTTCAGTCGCATGATTCCCCTAATCTACACTAATTAGCTCGAATCATCATCACGCACTAATATCCCGCCCATGTTCTTGTCTCAACCGTCGATCTCCGCCAGAGGCATCCGAATCGACGGCGACCGAGTCATTCCTCAATTTCAGTTGAATTATTATTATTATTATTATTATTATTATTATTCAAATCAGTTTGAATGGGACGCATATCTCTCATCTCTCTCAACTCAACAAGTGGTATGAATATTTTTTTTTTTTTTTTCAAATTAAATTAATCTTTATCATTTAATTTTATCATTTAATTCGAAATCTGCATCCGTATCGTGTTTATTCATGTGAACAAATTAAATGCAACTGTATTTGTCTCTTGTTTTCATGCTTTTTTTCTTGAATCGAAAGCAACAGACTGTGCTTCTTTATCTTTCAATTAAATTTTTCAAAGAATTTGATAAAATAAAGGTAGGAGCATTGATTGATTGATTGATTGGATTAAGTTTCAAGCTTTTTTTGTTGGAATATTAATTATCTGTTACTCTTGTATGGTTTCAGGCTCCGATCCAGAGTGAACCTCTCAAGGGTCGTCGGTTTTAGTGATGTCAGCACCGGAGAGGCCGACGTCATCTTCGTCGTCGGCTGCTACTGTGGATCCGCTGCTGAAGGATCTCACGGAGAAGAAGCAGAGCTTCCGGCGGAACGTGGTGTCGCTGGCGGCGGAGCTCAAGGAGGTGCGCGGCCGCCTCGCCTCTCAAGAACACTTGTCTGCCAGAGAAACCCTAACCAGACAGGTATGCAAATGATTGATTCTAACGCTTTGATTCGATGTGTGTGTGTGTGTGTGTGAGCTAAAATGTGAAAAGATCGTCTTCCTTTTTCTGCATATGTAATTTAATTAGAGAGAGCGAGATTGGATCTTCGTAGGTGAATGAGTTCATTGACACTTACATTTTCTTATTTTTTTTGTTCTTGATTTGACTTATACAGGAAGCGGAAAACAAAGTAAGGAGTATGGAGAAAGAGATTAGTAGATTGGAGAAGAATCTAGAGGACAGAAATGTGCAGCTGGAGGCTTCAACTTCTGCTGCTGAGATGGTACTTTTCTTTCATTATATTTTTGCTTTTGTAGATTTTATCTATTTTTGTGTTTACATGAATTTTTGTACTTCTAATATGTTTATATATGGGGGAGATGCTACGGTCCCGTTACACAACCATTCCGCCGTGGTTTGTAACTGTTGGATCAACTATCATCGACGGTTATATGATGATCTAACGGTTAAAAATCCCGAGTGAATGGTTTCGTAATGGGGCCGTAGCATTTTCCTATATATGGATGTGTTTTGTGCCCCTTGTTGTCATTCATTAGATTTGCTATTTAGATCCATTTTGTAACGCACTGTGCAGTTGTAGGCTTTTTGCCCTTTTATTTTTTTTTTTTTGGCTTTTCTTGTTTGTTCTATATGAGGCCTAGGAAAGAAAGTCGAATTCGTGGAAACATGTTCACTGTCTCCACTCATTGAAGTATAGTGATTTGAATGATTATAGGAACTTGTCTCAATTGTAATCAGCATGTCTGGCAAAAAAAGAGGAATCTTGATTATTTATTGGTTTGGATTGCTGTTTGTCTCTACAATAATGCCTCTCTTTGTACTTTGTCTTTATTTATTTGATCTTTCCCTACTCAAATTTTGAACACATTTGCCTTCCCATTGTAATTTAATTTTTTCTTTTTAATATAAATTTATTATGCATTCACTTATGGTTCTCTTGATAATTATACATGAGTAAAAAATCAGTCCCTTTGAATTAAAGGGGAGAGTCAAATGTAAGATTGCATGTATTGGGTATCTCTCAAGAGAGATGCTATATTCTATATGATGACTGAAGCTTACATGTAATTAGAAAATAATCAGAATATCTGGAAAAAGTAAAGTGCATCCTACTACTGAATTTGGATGTTTAAAGTAAACAACTAAAATAATCAGAATATCTGGAAAAAGTAAAGTGCATCCTACTACTGAATTTGGATGTTTAATGTAAACAACTATCTGACCATTTGTATAATTGTGATTGTATCTTTGGAATCTAAAATCTCCATATCCAAAAATCAACATGTAGAAAAATGATGGTTACTCATTATAATTGCTCTAACGCAGTAATTGTGAGTGATCTGTGATTGTATTCAAGACGTTTCGCTCTTCTTGCGTGAGTCTGTCATCTTTCATGTATGTAGCCATAATTACTCCTATACCTATCCTTAATTCTGAATCTTTTTGAAGAATTTTATTTGCAGTATGTGAAGGAATTGGATGATCTGAGGGTCCAACTTTCAAATACTCGAGCCACTGCGGATGCATCTTCACAGTCCGCTCAATCTGCACAGTTGCAATGTTCGGCATTGTCAAGAGAATTAGAAGAGAAAAATTGCTCGCTTAAAGAGCACGAGGCTCGTGTGAATAAACTGGGAGAGCAGCTTGACCTCCTACAGAAGGACCTTCGAGCCCGTGAATTTTCCCAAATGCAGCTGAAAGACGAAGTCTCAAGAATCGAGCAAGATATCATGCAGTCACTCGCCAAGGCCGGGATAAACAAAGATTGTGAGCTCCGCAAGATTTTAGATGAGGTATCGCCAAAGAATTTTGAAAAAATGAATCAGCTTTTGACGGTAAAGGATGAAGAAATAGCTAAACTGAGGGATGAGATTAGGATCATGTCTGCCCATTGGAAGCTCAAGACTAAAGAGCTGGAATCTCAGGTTTGCTTCGGTTACATTATAATACTCGTTATTTTTCTTGCAGAAACCCTCAAAGTAATTTTCACTAAACAACTTCATGATTCTATTTCCTTTTTTGTTATGTGTGTCTCAGCTGGAGAAGCACCGTAGGGTGGATCAAGAGCTGAAGAAGAAAGTCTTAAAGCTGGAGTTTTGCCTCCAAGAAGCACGGGCTCAGACTCGTAAACTCCAAAGAGTAATGTTCTAACTGGATTTTGCACAACAATGAGCCTCAATAACTCAACCAATTCGCATAATTTATTTCCAAAATAGTAATGCTTTTATTTTTATTCTTCTTTTCTTATTTCAACTTTGATGGCTACTTATCAGTTATCATCACTTTGGTCACTTGTATATGTTTATTCTGCAGATGGGAGAGCGTAGGGACAAAGCTCTGAAAGAACTAAGAGATCAATTGGTTGCCAAACAGCAAGCTGAGCTTCCTGTGGGCCCAAAAAACTATGATAAGCAGAACTTTTGGGATACATCAGGTTTCAAGGTCGTAGTTTCAGTATCAATGCTGATCTTAGTAATGTTCTCCAAGCGGTGATGATATTTAGATTATTTGATGCAACTGTTGTATATTAGGACAAACGAGGGGTGGTAGGCAGGGCAAGTAGATTAGTGGGGGAAGATTTGGTGTATGATCTGTATCATTTGTAGTATTTCGTAATTTGTAATTAGCGTCGTTTACGATTTGTAGTTGTTAGCCAGTGCATTGTATTGTTATAAACTGTAACTCTTTCTTGGATAGATTATGCTGTATTTCAGTAAATTATCTTGTGCTATTTGAACTTGGTACTCTTTCTTGATGACCTTAAATTTTGATGTAATGTAGCTAGTCTAAAATTTTCCTGTCTTGGGTTCATGTTTTCCAACTTGACCATCAAAATGGTTATTAGGGAGATCAATGGGACCTTTTTATTACAGTTTTGAAGATAGCATTTCAATGTCATGTTCAATTATTTGTATTTGTAGAGGTGTTTTCCCATTATAGCCAGTAACATGCATCAACTGAAGATCTTCAAGATAGTATATTGATTATTGATTATTTAGAGTTTAAAAACAATACATTCAAGTTCAAGAGTCTTTTTTTTTTT